GTACCCAGGCTCTGGCAGGACCTCTGATTAGGGAGGGTTTCTCCCCAACCTTGCTGTTCCTGGCCAGCCCAGCAGGAAGTTGATAACAGAGCATTTATCAGCCCATCAAGAAAGTAAAAGCCTCTCCCATTAGTTAAGCTCCTCTTAAACAACTTTTTCCAAGGAAGAAACAAAGTGACATTACCAGCTGACCTGTGGATTAGCTTCAAAAAGCCCTAAGTGGACACTGTCCTGTCTGCCTTTGTCCTGTCTTCTTTACACAGACACCTCTCAGCATTAGCTAGCATACCACATACTGGCTATGGTCATGCAGTGGGAGACCGGACGGGGGGAAATCCTTGCTTGAGCAGGGAGGGGGAAAGGTAGGGAGAAGCCAGGCAGATGCTGCTCCACCTGCCATCTCTGCCAAGCTCCAGCCAGGGAGCAGAGGGGAGGGGCCAGCACTGCTGGGCTGGAGCAGAAAGCAGCACCTAGGGCTACGAAGCATCTGGGTTGCTGGGAGACTCTGGTTTAAGTTAAACCAGGAAGGGGTCTGGGACAGATATTGGATAAACCAGGTTGATCTAAATCAGTTAAGTCTGATACTACATTGAAACAGATTTATGTCAAACTGATTTCAGCCATTTTAAAACTGGTTTATGTGCACTGAATGTCTGTTCTGTTACTGGTTTAAACCCATTTCTTACCACTTAAACCGGTTTATGTGTAATGTCTGTCTCTAGCCCAAATGCCTTTCTCCTGACTTCAGTGGATTTGGAATTAAGCTGTTGGAACTGCTACTATGCGATGGCTATTGGCTACGTAACCTGTTATCACTAGTAGAGGCAGTTCTAGTGCTGCTAAGGATACTTGCTTCTTTGTAATAATGTCAAAATAGCTCCATCTGTGCTTGCCTCATACTGTAGAAGAAAACTGATAGTTGGAAATCATAGAATAAATTATAAAGCTAACTCCCACTGCCAAACCCATAAACCTTTATTTCCTAAAGACTGCAAATTTATACCATTTTCTATTAACAGCCTTTTAAAAATGTATCTATTGCAGTTCCCTATTAGACTAAACTGGTTATGTGAATATATTTAGCCTGACATCTTCATTAAAATTATTTCTGAAATTAGTGTAATTCTTTTATACTACTGCTATATTGTTTTCTGAGGAGAAAATGACAATAAACCCCATTCATCTCTTCTGTTTATTTGTGGTGTTTGTGCCTGAAAACTGACTACAGTTTATGATAGGTTGGAATTTGTGCATGGGAACAATGTTCCAGAAAGCAGTTGCTCAGTATGCATACATACAGAGAAGTAAATGTAAATATGTTAAACTACTTATAAATAAAGTAAGCAAATGCATATTGTAAAAATCTTTCTCCCTTTTATAGTGTAATAAAATGTTCTAAATCTCAGGTCTTGTTTCCAAGAAAGAAATGGTAATGTTTCTGAATGTTTGACAACATTTTACATAACACTGCTGACGTTATTTGTTGGTTTGAAAGATGATATTCCTCTTATGTTGCCAGGCTATTGTTTTTACAATAGCATAACTTTGGAATAACTTCAGTGGCTGAAATAGAGCTTCTCTTGATTTAAAATCAGTTACAGATGGGGCAGAATGTAGCCCTTAATGACAAATGACCATAATCTTTACTAGATATCTGCTCAGATTATTGTGCACATGCTTGTGTGTTTTATGTGCATGTTTATGGACAATGGGAGAAAACTATGAACAAAGAGAAGTTGAAGAACTTTGAAAACACTGACCTTGGAATAAATATACCTGTAGTAAGTTGCATATTGTCAGTTCACCCAGAATTGATGTATTTTACCTGTTTTAAAACTGATACACGCTTTATCACAGATACTCTATAAACATACTTTTAAGCAGTACTTTTGTACCTTTTTATATATAGCACAAACTATGCATGATATTACTCTAAAGCTAAAAGGCACATGATTTACCATATAGTTCAACGGGTTGGGCCTCAGCACAGTCAACAGTGTTTCAAGCCATTGTGACTCAGCACTGCTTAGTATTTGTGTGTATTCTACATCCTACCCCCCACAAAGGATCCCTGTGGAAAGGAATCCCCCATTCATGACTGGAACTGGGTGTTCTTATCATAAGTCTTGGGATCATCCAAAACTTTTTATGCAAGTGAGGGCAACCTGGTCTGACTGCACCTCATGGAGGGTGGGGCCACACTAATCATATGCAGCAGGTTGAGAGAGGGGATGAGAGAGGGGTTCTGGAGGGGCCCCTTTTAGTGATGTTTGCCAGACATTTAAGGCTGGTGAAGAAATGGGAGTGATTAGAAATAGGAAAGAAAGGCACAGTTCAGCTGTGGGAGTAACAAGGAAGTTAAAATGTATGCAGCGTTGTAGCTCACCATGACTTTAAAAAGAGTTGGCATTGAGGGTGACCATGGACAACAGGCATTACCATATATCTTATTCAGATGGCCTCCACTAACCTGCCAAGGCACCACAAAGACTATTGACCACCACCTATGGCTCTGCTCGTATGCCAAGGAGATGTGGAAAAAGGTAAAGCAGCTCTGCAAAGTGGTGACAGGGGTTGGACAGTTGTCAAGAGAGGCAGCATTGTATGGGTACCTGACTAAATACCAGGGGAACCTGTTGGCCCGCTTTGATCAGTTTGTGTCCTCCATCAGGAGTGCCCTGTGGAAATCCAGGAACCTGCTGATGTACAGACACATGAACCTGGAGGTGCTAGACTGTGTTAATATGGCTCTGAGTGAACTCCAGTCCTACTACTGGAAATTGGTAGCAGAGGGCAGTGAGGATGCAGCCAACTCTACCTGGCAAGAGGCCACTTGGCACAGGAACTTCCAAGATCCCCCTAGGGGGGAATGGACAGTGACAGTGAAGAGGATGACAAGACAACTGGACCTGGAGACAGTGATGAGGACACCAGCAGTGTATCCTCCAGTGGGAGTGACAGTGACAACAAATAAACTGAGATTTTAAACCTCATAACCAGGGTGTGGACTAAGGAACAGTGTGATCAGGGTAGGGAGGCCACTGGGCGGTTGTGTGGGCATGTGGGTCCGTGGGTGTTTATGTTATAATGGGTTTATGGGTTTTGTTTTGTGAGATAAAGTATGTGATGAAAAATTACTAGAAGGGGTGTGTGTGTGTATAGACATATATTTTTACAAAAACAAAACAAACACAACCTTTTTTTGTGATAAGTTCCCATCATTATGTGCTGTGTGTTATATAGCCATGCTCAGTGTTGGCTGCACTTAATCAGCTTCATAGTTGATTTCCATTGCTGAGCACATGCTGTTTCTGGCAGCAGTTTAATGATAGTCAATGTATTTAATGAGGTTTCCTTGTATACAAATAGAAGACTAGGGGATTTTTCCTTATGTTGATTGTGGGGGAGGGAGGGGGACTCTTGTCTTCTATTCAGGTAAACACAGTAGATGTTATTTTCTTGCAACAACTCATTTTCATGCTAGTCTGTAATTCTGATTTCTCTGTGTCTGTCTTCACCCTAAGCACTTAATAGTTATCTTTTGTAAAGCATATTCCACTTATGCGCATATTGGATAAGTACATAATTTGTTTAACTGCATAATGCAAGTCTAGTCCCATTTGTTGCTCATTGAATACATTTTAGCAAACATTGGTTATCTGCATATTGTTTAAGTACATATTTTTTTAATGCATAGGAGTTCTTAGCCCCACTGTGTACTTTGCAGTCTAATTGTACTCCTTTTATCTGCATCATTACTGATACTGACTAGGAACTGTCAATGCAAAGGCTCTTAAAGTAGCCTTAAACTGGCTAGTTTCTATCAATTTCAAGGTTGCTGTCAGAGGTACAAGGTACTCTGAGACACAAAATAATGACCCTTAATGAGATGCAAAAATCTTAGTGTAGACTGTTCTTATAGTTAATGAGTAAGCATATCTTTTTCCTCCCAATACTATTCCCATAAATGGAATACATTGTAGATACTTGACAGAAAAGTCTAATAGTATTAGGATTCAGACAGATGTAATACTTAAAGTGGTTCAAAGTATAAAGGACTTGCAAATATTTCAAAATGTTGTGTTATGAGCCACCAGACATGCACATAGCCCTTGTTATGATCCCTGACTGCAGCAGTTCAAAGTCTTAACCTCCAGGGTGGTGAGCAAAGCTGGAGGAGCAAAGGGTCCTCTGTTGTGCTCCTCAGAACATCTGTACATAACAGAAAGTGATATATTTTGAAACACTTCTGAACAGTAGTAGTACCTGTTTCAATGCGTCTCTCTGTAGTTTCTCCTTTAAAGAATTTCAAAGACATTTGAAATGTTTCAACAGTTACATTTGTCTGCATTGAACTAGTGGCCTGACTGGGGCTGCATATACACGTACTAGTAATTTGGCAGAGTTCTTTCAGGTTTGTTCTCCTGGGAGAAAAACTTAATCACAACCTCATGCTGAGGTCCTGAAGTATGCAGTGCTGACACTGTGTAGCCAGGGAGAGTCCCTGTGTACAGATCTCAGGGTGTTCTGCAGGCTCCTTTAGTCTGCCTGATGGCAGAAATGCATAGGGTAGCCCTGACTGGCTGACCCAGATTGCCCATGGTCAGCCTGTGTTTCCCTGCAGCACAGGAGCGTGTTCTGCTCCCTGCTGGAGAAGCAGAGTCTAGGGTGCAACATGCACCTGGGGTGGGGCAAGGAGTGGGAGAGGGAAGATGCTGGAGGAGTGTCTTCTGAGAGAAGGCGCTGGAGAGTAGCATTCTGCTAAACATGGCCTAACTAATGAACTGATTTTCTTGGAGAAAGTCTGAAACTGATATTTATATTTACTGGTTCTTGGTAGCAAAGGGTGGTACAGAAGAAAAAGCAGCATTTTCTTACTGAACCTGAATGATTAAGGGTAGGGGAACAAGGGTAGAACAAATGTGGCAGCTTTAGAAATTGATTTATAACAACTTCTGACTGATGGCACACTCATGTAATCTCATTCTTTCTTCATTTAGAATGTTCCACCAGATCTCTCCATTTGTACTTTTGTGCTGGAACAGTCCTTGTCAGTGCGGGCTCTTCAAGAAATGCTGGCAAACACTGAAGAGAAAGCAGAAGGGGTAAGTTATGAGGTCTAGGCTTCTTGATTACATTGGGCTATCTCATATTTCATAGAACCACAACCTTATGAGACCAGGACAGGTGCCTTCCTCATGTTTCATTTTAGTTTCCTTCTTCAGTGCAGTAAATACCCAATCCTGTTAAGTGCTGAGAACTTTCAACTTCCAGTTACGGGTATGTAGCATCTCTCAAGCTCAGGTGGCAGCACAAATCAGGGCTCGTTGTAGAAATGATGATTTAAGGCTACTGAGAGAGTACTTACTATGAGGTCTTATTATCAATATAGCAAAATTAATTTTACATTTAAAAATAGTTAAATCTATCCTTCTGAAGAGTTATGTCGCTGTCCAAATGACAGGACTGTGTTGCTATAGAGCAGATTAACCTCATATTTATGCAGTCCCTGTACAAAATAAAAATGGTGGGAAATCTGTAAATGTGGAAACAGGCATGCTTAGGTCTTGGTTGGACATAACGACAATATGCTATGTGGATTGAACTAAAACATCAAATAATTCAGCTTTAAAGCTGAAGATTGTCATATTAATGAGCAGTTTTAGTTGAATTTGGAAATTTGCCATCTTTCCATTCTGGAGCAGAGAAAGAAGCAGAAATAATATTAAGTTTGGGTAACAGATAAATATCTACAAATAAATCATGGTTGCATAAATAATGTTATGTAAATTGTTTAGTTCTTTTAGCTTGCAGTTACGTAGCTTTGTTCTCAACACATCCTTTGCAAAATTTAATTTGAATGCCGTACTCCTGGCTAAAATCCTATAAACTGTTTGTCATAGAGGAAGAGTGACAAGGAGTTTGGGCTTTTGGCACAGAACGTACATGCAGAGACAAAACAGAATAGATATCAGCAGCAAATCTGTCATTCAAGAAATCTGGCAATGGAGTAGCAGACCCCTGCTGGTTCTGGGAATACCTTTAGAGAGCAAGCTCCAAACTAATATGTAGCAATCAGTCACACTAAATGCCAAGCATTCAGCCTAAGAATGACAGTCAGGAAACAAAATCCAGGAACATCCCCATATATTGTCCAGAGCATGTGGTGTCATTGAGCATTTGTTCCAAGGACTAATTGCAGTAGAAGTAGAGCTACTACATCAATGTCGCATGTTCTTCTCAGATTAAGTAAATCCATGCTCCCAGTAAGGGGACCACTCCTTCATGAGTTTGCAGCTATTGTAAATAAGAGTGAACTGACTTCACAGGGAAAGTCTACTCTAGAAATACAAGTATGTGGCATGGGCATGTACCAAGAAAGCAGGATCTACCAAACCCCACTGCCACTGTGCAATCACCAAGGATACTCAAAAACGTTGTAGTGATAAAGTGATGATAGCAATATGTACAGACTAGCACTTGAGAAACTTAGCTGATATATCCTTGTTGCTTCCCACACTGCCCCCAACAAACATAGGTATGGGACAAGTATGGAAGGAATACCACTGGGGGCAAATTCAAGGAGCATGCAGAACCATGGAGCAAATGTATGTTTTATCAGTCTAATAGAATAAATGGTGCCCTTGCCCATTAGGGTTTCAAAATGACCATGACAATATGAAATGGAGTCATATTTAAGTCCAGTAATAAACACTTAAATGTTTACAACTACTTTTTTATTGCAATTTTTCTACTGGGAATATAGTGATTATTATAGACTGAGCTGTCCTTTAAGGCAGTGTTGTGTTTAGCAGCACCTGTGACTATTTTTCTACTTAGTCCAGAGGTCATGTGACAGGGAAGCAGAATGCAAGTCTGAGTTTAGGTGTCCTGTTTGGGGATAGGGTAGGTTAGTAACAATTCTCCAGAGTGCCCAGATGGAGCGTTTTGGATGGACACCAGTGGGTAGCAGGAAGGAGTGAAGAGGTACAGACTACTTAGAGAGGGATTTTCCACACCAGGTAAATGGAAAGGTTTGCCTAGAGCTAAATGCTATGAGGGGTAACCTTTTAAAATAGGAAGTTTAGGGTGTGCAAGGTAGCAGTGCCTTGGTTTTGGGAAAGAATCAATGGGCACAGCAGGAGCCTGAAGAAAGTGTATGAGTTGACTTTTTAACTCAGTTCTTTTAATAAAATAGAACCCCAATAAAGGAGGTACTTGGCGGAGCTGAAAGTGTATGACCCTTTACTGGGGGAATGTAAGAAGGATACACTGCGGCTATATCAGAGTCTGCTGGCTCTAAGTATTTATAGGCTCTGCTTTTAGGAAGCTTGTTTTCTGGCTCTAGTAATTGTTGTGAACTTGTGAGTTTCTAGTGTTGGCAAATGATATACTTTTATTTAAACTTTACAAGTGGAAGTAATTATGTGTGTATATCTGAAGCACGATCTTTCAGGAGTGATGCCAAATTTTAATTGTAATAACCTTGTTTCCTTTCATTTGAGAAAAGGCAGTATTACAAGTTCCAGAATTTTTTCTTATAAACTAGACTCACGTATCTCTGGCATGCTACCTGCAGTAGAGAGGCCCTGTAAAAGGAAGCTCCCTTAGTTTTCTGTTACTTTTCATTCCAACAAGCTAGGTTAGAATGCATTAAGGAAATCGTGTTAAAACAATTATTCTTGTGTTACCAACTCTTTGATTATGGATAGCTCATAAATATGCAGAACCTTTCCATTTAAGAGGAACATCAGCAATAATGTAATACAATGTGAAAATATTCCAGTGAGGTTTTTTTATCCCTTGATCATAGGGACTAAGAAAAGAACAATAATTTATTTTTTCAATGTTTTAAATAAATTTGAATGTTGATCTCCAGTGATCTAGGCCTTTCTTCCATTCATAATTCATATGTATGAGGTTCTGTATGGAATTGGGTATCATATTTTTGTGTATACATCCCTACACAGGACGTTACATACTTGGTAAGGCTAATGGTTCATCTAATCCAACACTCTGAATCCATCAACCTGATTTAATCAGAAGCTAATATCAGATGCATTAGAAGAAGGTGCAAGAAACTCCATAATAAGCAATATATGTAATACTTATGCTATTCCAGAGTGTTTCTTCCTATCCCTAGGCAGCAGTTGCTTTGTTGTGGAAGGTGGACAGTTCCCCTGTATACTAATGATCAGATATAAAATATTTATGTATTTTTTTCAGCAGCCCTATGATTATATAACCACTGACATCCACCCTCAATATATCAAGGCACTGAAATCCACAGGTTGATTGCTGTATGTAGTCTCCTGTTTCTCATTTTATAATTGATTGAAAAGGAGAAATCATAAGTCAGTGTTCCAGTGTTATGGTAAAGGTTTAAAGGGACATTTCCTTTTACCTCGTGTGTGTGTATATATTGCATGCACATGTGCCCTACTACATACATAAATTAATTAAAAAGGAAACTATTAATTTTACGACGTCAATAAAAAATGAGGAAACTCCAAAATTTAAGTGGCTGGTGGAATCTGAATTAGGTCTCTTATTGATAAGCAATATGCTACAGTATTTAAATGTAGGTGTGTATACTGTCTTTTCCAGAGAATCCTTACCTCAGTCATCAAATGGACGAGTAACGTTTCGAAATGTTGTTTCCTCCTTGTTGTCTAACTTGCATCTCCATGCCTTGTTTTTGCAAGATCTGCTCTGAAGGCATTAATTTTTTTCTGAATGAACTTTTTATAGTGCTCCTTACTGTAGTATCTGCATACTTCATGTGCTTTCACAATGTCCTTGTGAAATGAGACAAAATAATTTTTGCCATTTTCGGGTGCCTGTACATGAGCGTGGAGGCTGCTCCGATGTGCTGTAATTACAGCATGTTGGAGCAGACTCGATTAATTGAGTCTGATGGAGCATAGCAGTTACTGTGCTCCAGCAGCCTTCTGAGTCTTGTGCGTCAGCATCCCTGCACTTTGAAATAGTGATGGGGGTGCTTGAACTAAAGCTTGTTGGCACCCTTGCCACCATTTTTAAGCACAGGGACATTGATACACAAGATGCTGTGGTGCTTTAATAACACCGGCTCTAAAAGCTGCTCTAATTAAAGTGCTGTCCCCCCAGACTCCATCCCCAGAGCACATGTAAAAAGTGCCCTAACAGATTAGGCCCTGAGGCATAGAATGATTAAGATCAGAAGTATCCACTAATTTGGGTGCCAAAGTTGAGATTCCTAAAACCAGATGCTGCATAATACTCAGCCTTATATAGCACTTCATATGTTCTCTGAACATCAGTTGCAACTTTGAGAGCTCAGCACTTCTGCAGATTAGATCCCAGGGTCTTAAGTGTGGGACAGAAAAAAAGTTGAAAGCAGAGGACAATGTGATCACCCATGAAAAGTGTGGTCTAAGTTACATGCCTAGTAACACACAGGCATTCTGGTGAATCCAGTTCTCCAGGGCAACATTCAGCTGCTTTTTTTCTTGTATTCCCATGCCTCATTCATAACCCGGGGTACTGGCTTTCTCTGTTTTGAAATAGCAAATTCTCTGATAAAAATCACAAATTCTCTAATTAAAAACTTCCAAATCTGTGTTTCTGTGTAACTAAAATGAAACACCACAATATATAAAGGTATCAGTTGAACACAGTGATATATTTACAATTTTAAAGCAATTTGGAAGTCTACCAGTGCCTCAATCACTATAATAAACAAATTCTAAATACCTATAAATTTTAACGTTTGACTTTGGGTTTTTTATCGTGGAAAATCAGAGCTCCCTCTGCTGACCAGAACATGGGTGCAGCTGTGGCTGTTTCCCCCACACTGCTTTGTGGTGCTGAGCAGCCCTGATATGCTGGTGCCCTGCTCATACCATTGCCCCTCACTCCCAACTCACAGCCCCCTAGCCTTACTGGTGCCCCTCACTCCCCACCCACAGCCCTCCAGCCCAACCAGTGTCCCTCATTCCCTAACCGCAGTGCCCCAGCCCTGCTGATGCCCCTCACTTCTGATCCACAGCTCCCTACCCCTGTTGGTGCCCCTCACTCCCCATCCACAGCCCCTCCGGTCCTGCTGGTTCCCCTCAATCTCCAC